GGGGACGGGGCGAGCGCGCTGCCCTGGCCCCCCTGCTCTATGGCGGAGTCGCCGAGAGCGCCGCTGCCGCCCGCCGCGCTCTCCCCCTCCTCCTGCTCCGGGCAGCAGCGGCCTCCCCCCGGGTGCGCGCGCATCCAGCCCCCTCCCCAGCCGGCGCTGCGCTTCTTCCGTAACCGAGCCCTTGGAATCCCGGAGACCCGCCCCGCCCGCAGAGCGGCGCGCGGGGGACGCGCGCAAGCATCATAGAGCGGGCGCGCACAGAGCGGCCCTCCCGCCCGGGGCGTGGCCCCAGCCACCGCCTCTTAGGTCCTCCAAGCGCCCGTGGCGGCCATGTTAGCCCCGCCTCCCCGGGGGCACGCCCCCCCAGGCCCCACCCGTTCGGCCTTCGGCCGCGCCCTTCCGGCCCCGCGATCTAGAGCGAGAAGATCCCGGAAGTCTGTCGGCCAGCAGAGAGAGAGCAGTGGCGGAGTGGCAGAGGCAGTGCGGTTATTTTGTTTCTCATGGGGTTATTTTGTTTCTCATGGGGTTATTTTGTTTCTCATGGGGTTATTTTGTTTCTCATGGGGTTATCCTCCCATGTGTGATATGACCAGTCTTTGCTTCCCAGTTCATGCACAGCAAGCAAAATAGATCTCATTTTACATTGACCAACTTATCTGTTCACTTAATGGCGTGATAGATAACCCCCTGTGCTGCTTCTCCTCCAAGTCATCCCAAGAGGCTCAGATTGAAGGGAATGAAACAAAATGTTCCATTACATGAAATTGTGTCTCCTTCGGAGCCTGACTTTACAGTCCCTGGCAAATTCTAGGATTTTGTAAGGGTCTGGGGCAAGAAATGATACTGAAATATTCTGTCCAGTCAATCATACGGGTTTACCTCTATATTCTCCTTAGAATGACTGAATTTACTAGATTTCATGGAATCTTTTCTTAATTTAAACTTTGCTGTCTAACACGAAAAGCAATGGACTAGATTTGGTAAATAACTCCCTTCTGCTGAAAGTCCGGCATAACTCACTATGACAAGTCTTAGGAATCTGTGGTACTATCTGGGCCTGCCCACTTCTTATCCAAGAGTAATTTCTTCAGTAATGGCAAGGAGCCAGACACGGTGGCACACGCCTGTGATCCCAAGACTTGAGAGGCTGAGGCAGGAGGACTGCTGTGATTTTGAGGCCAGACTGGGCTACACAGTGAGTTCAAGGACAGCCTGAACCACGTAATGACACCTTGACATATGTTGTCTCAAACAACAATAAAAAACAACAATGGCAAGGGAACTAATTTAAATTTTAGGGAAGAATTATAGAAGTCTATAAATGCTAGGTGTATATAGAAATGTGCTACTGAAATTCAGGCTGATCTCAAACCTTTGAAGGACTGAAAGGCATAAAGCATGTTTTATCTTATTGTTGGTAAACTAGGCATCCATCCAGGGATGGACAGCTTGCTGCCCCGTGAAGCAACATGCCGCTGCGCTACTGAAAACGCAACTGCATGTGGTCCTAAACCTGGCACGTTTTATTGGGGACTAGTGTCTCCCTTCTTCCAGGTGGGCACTTGTCAATATCTACTCTGTTGTCTTGACTGTCTTTGATCGTAATCTAGGCCTTCTGGCCACTTGGCTTCTTCCTGTCCCTTTGTAATGAATAAGTGATGAGAGAGGGCATATTAGGAAGGCAGCTTATTTAGTGATTAACTAAAGGGAACATATGTGCACGTGTGTATCTGGTGTAATATGATACTGATGTTAAGATGAGAACCTACCCATGCACAAGTGTGTGTGTGGGGTGCACTCATGTCTTACATATTAAATATGAGTCCTTCGGAGGCAATCCCTTGTCCCCCTGGAATTGTCAGCTGGGCAGGGAAGCTGGCTTGCCGGGTACTTGTGTCACCGGGAAGTTCTCCCAAGTCTAGCTAGCTTTTCTGTCTTTTGCCTTTCTAATTACCCTAACTTTAGAGTCTACCCTTGAGTACAGAAACTGCTTTCAGTAAGTTTCCCTTTTGATCTAATAAAGCTCAGTGAGGTCCTTACCCTATCTTTTCCCTACCTACAGTCGCACCTGTCCCTGTAGGGTTCCTGTATACACAGTTCCTAAAAGCTAAGGACTATGTTTAATGCATTGAATTAGTTAATAGGACAACTGAAATTCTGAAATGTATATGATTTGCCTCAACGTGCAGACATTAACTCATACAAACTTGTCTGTTTCTGACCCCCACCTTAGGATACTTTTAGTGTCTTTGATTGGAGATACACTGTTATAATTTCCCACAGGAAATCTATATAGAAATGTGGGCAACAAAGGCTTGGATGGGCAAGTTGAGTTCTCAGGAGAGGGGCCAGAAGCAGAAATGTGTGTTTAGGAGTCATTCCTGAAAGTGACAACTGCAGGAGACCCTGCAAGTGAACAAGAACTTGCATGGTTATAAGAAAAGAAAAAGGATCCAGAACTGAAATTTAAGAAATACCAACATTTATGTCCCAAGTGAAGGAATAAAATTCACAAAAAACTAAGATAAAATTTTGATTGGTGCTATATGGCAGTATACCCTGATTTTCACACTTAATTAAAACCACAGGGAGGGGCTGGGGATTTAGCTCAGCGGCAAAGCGCCTGCCTGGCAAGCGCAAGGTCGTGAGTTCGGTTCCTGGTACCG